GAAAATAAAGCCTGTCCTCTGGAGGTGAAATGGGCTTCTCTTCATATCAGACCCAGGCTAAAGAAAGAATGATGAAATAAATGTTGGAATGGTCTTTGGGTGATTATTGGAAAATTCATGATCTGCTTACCTTAGGAAAGAAGAAAGAACTTAGCCTCAGCTGGTTTATGAATTGCAAGTACTGTGATGATACAGAAAAAGTAACAACCTTGTACTTGCTGACCACAAGAATGTGTTCTTTTCTAGGGCTACAAAAACTTTGACACCCTTGACAAGATAGCATTGCTGGGCTAATATTATTTAGATCCTGCTTTGAAAGAGCAAATCTTGGCACAAATAAACTAATAAGAAATACACCCCACTTCTGATGATCTTGGGGGTGAGGAACAATGAGCACTGGGCTCTGCTTTCTCTTAAGGACAAGAGCAGGTGTATGTGAGGAGGGCAGGAAGGGTGGGCGGTGACTGTAAGGAAACTGCCCCATTCTCAGGAGATGGAATGTCCTCGGGTGCACCCTCCTTGTTTAGGGAAGACTGAATTTCACCCTTCGGCTTTTCCTAGAATAGTCACCTCCAACATCATATCCATCACCAGCCAAATTCATCCCAAGGGAGAATGCCTGAGCCATGGGAACATCTTGGCTGTAGGCTCAGAAGTTAGGTAGAAGTGGAGGGATGGATGATTGATACCACTAAGAAGCTTTCTCTGTAGCAGCAAACAAGTAGCTTCTTTTCTAAATTCTGATACAGTAAAACCTGTGAAAGCTGGAACCGGTGTAAAATGGAAACCTATCAGAGAAGAACTGAAATACTTTTCACTAAAACAAGTGATAGAAAAGTGGTAAGACTACACCCTATCACAGGTGGAAAACTTACAAGACCCAGAAAAACAAGGTCATCCCATCGAGTTCTGGCTCTCACAGGTTTCGCTGTAATAAGTATTCCATTCAGTCAATGTGGGTGGGATAGGAAGAATTAGGGGAAATGCCAGCCTCTTGTGAGATCTTATTCACTTAGTACTCTTGGTAGCCAAGAGCAAGACCAGCTGCACAAACATTGTGTGTGCTGGATGTGCTATTTCCAGGGCCAAGCTCATCGTGCCTTGTTCCCCTCAGTCACAGAAATGTAAGTCTCCCAGACCATCTATCATCGGACTGATGCTCTCTATATCACTAACAGGACCCATTGCCTCCTGTCCCTGCCCTCCCTAACTCTTCCTCTATCTCCTTGGTAACACATGGCTTTCTCATCAGAAAACTCCCCTAGATCCACAACTGCTTCTCTGAACTTCTCTTCTTCCTGTATGTAAAACGTGAGGCTCCGCTGAGGACACAGTTTCCCCCAAGACCTCTCAAGAGTAGGCTATTTCTACCCGAACACCACTTAACCTTAGCACCTTGTTTCCTTTTACTGCTTCCAACATACCTCTCCTTCTTCCTCTTTTAAAAGCCATAGCTTCATCACAAAAGGACAAGTATTATATGATTTAACTAACATGAACACTTAGAATAGGCAAATGTATAGAGATCAGAGGTTAACAGTGGTTACCAGGGGTGGGAGGGAAGGGGAAAGAGGGGAGTTTTTGTTCAGCTAGTATTGAGTTTTCTGGTTTTGGTGATGGAAAATATGGCAATGGATGTTGGTGATGGTTGTACAACATGATTGAGGTAATCAGATTCATTGAATTGTACAAGTGAAAAATGGTAAATTGGCAATTGTTGTGTTACCTACATTTTTACAATGAAAAATAGTAATAGTTTTAAAAAGCCATAGCTCCTTTGAAGTACATGTTACCAAACTTTACCACCCCCATCCCCATTTGTTTCTGCCACATCTGGGAATCCTGGTCATGCTCGTTCATTTTTTTTTATTTCTGTATGGGATCATTGCCTCCCTTTCCACCTTTATCTTGCCATCATGTTCTGCAGTGTCAACATCTGTATTAATGATTCACATGTGACAGATTCATTGAAAAAATGGCTCCAATTGTGTAACTTTCTCTGTATCCATGTCCTTTACAATGTGACTTTCTAACTCCTGTCAAGAGGTGACATTTATGTCCACACCTCTTCAGTCTGAACTTATGGTCTACTTTATAGCAGAATGGACATGGTATATTTCTTTCTTTTTGTTGTTGTTGTTTAGAATATACACCAATTCAACCATTTCTACATATACGATTCAGTGACACTGATTACGTTCTTTGAGTTGTGCATTTCTTTCTCACCCTCCTTTTCTGAGGTGGTCCTCCCTCATTAACATAAACTCACTACCCACTAAGGTTCCTCTCTAATCTTTCAAGTTGCTGTTGTCACTTTAATCCCATGTAGGTAGCTTTTAAAAGAGCATAATGTTCAAGGAAGACATGTTTTAGTAGCTAAACTAGACTACTGTTTGGTTTTAAGAAGACTTCAGGGGATATTTTGGCTTAAGATTTAAAGATTATCTCAGGGCAATAGTTTCAGGGATCCATCCAGCTTCCATGGCTCTAGAAAGTCTGGAGTCCATGAGAATTTGAAATTCTGTTCTACATTTTTCCCCTTTTGGTCAGGATTCTTCTATAGAATCTTTGATCAAAATGTTCAGTAATGGTAGCCAGGCACCATCTAGCTCTTCTGGCCTCATGGCAAAGAAGGCAGTTGTTCATGGAGGCAATTAGCCACACATTCCATATTCTCCTCCTATTCCTGACCCTCCTTCTCCTGTTGCTCTAGTTGAATAGAGACCAATTGTTGTGCCTTGGATGGGACATGGCACATTTCTGACCTTAGTCCCCTCCACACTACCCCTTTCTCCCAGCTATCAAATGAGAAAGCATGAGTTAGTCTACTGCAAGAAAGAAGACCACATGCAGCAGAGGCAAGCCATCCTAGTGAGACCATCCTAGGCCAGCCAGCTCCCAGCTAACTTTGCAGCTGACCACAGATCTGGGAGCAAGCCCAGCTGAGAATGGCTGAGGCTAGCCTAGGTCAGAAGACTCATCCAATCAACCTGCAGACACTTAGCAATAATAAATTGATGTTTAAAACCACTACAGTTTGGTGTGATTTGTTATGCAGCAAAAGCTACCTGACATATCATATGAGTAAAGGATGAAGGAAACTATGTGATAACAGACAACAGTAGCAGGAGAGCAAGAGGGTGGGCAACATAGTGGAATGACTAAGTATTCAAATAGATGCTGTGAAAGCAGGAGTAGAAACGAGCCCTAGAGTGAATTCTATTGCTGAGTTTATCCAAAAACCCTACATAGAGCAATGTTGGGAAGCCCTACTCAAATTTAAAGAGAATATGCTCTACAGGCAACATTTCTGACCAATAGACTTCACTATCAGTAACAGCAACCAACTCAGAATAGGACTTTGTAAAGTAATAACTTATATTTACCTAATTTTCTAAGTTATGTTTTAATACGTTATATATGTATATATCACATCCGAAAAAAACCAAACCCACTGATATCGAGTCAATTTCAACTCACAGAAACCCTATAGGACAGCATAGACCTGCCCCATAGGGTTTCCAAGGCTGTAAGTCTTTACGGGAGCAGACTGCCACATCTTTCTCTTGTGGAGTGGCTAATGGGTTTGAACCACCGACCTTTCAGTTAGCAGTCAAGCACTTTTAACCACTGCACCACCAGGGCTCTCTATATGTCATGTATATTTATGTATACTTCATTCGTATATGTGTGTGTGTATGTATATATATACATATTGCCATGGTCATATATAAGCTTGGAAACATTGTGCTTCATTCCTTTTATCTTCCTCGTGGAGATCTACCTTCATACTAAAAGTGTGACAACCCCACCTCACCCTCAGCTGATATCCAAAGAATAGGGATCCATCCTTACTCAACAACACAGAATATCTGTAAGGTATTCTATAGCTTCAGAAGTAAAAATTACCATTTATGGTTGGAAGTGACAAGGAAACAGATTTCTACTTATTCCTTCCCCCCAAAAAAAGAGTTTTGTAATAATTAAACATATCTAAAGATAAAACAGGCTGCTTCAAGCAAATGGTCTTCTCATCAATGGAAATATTCATGAATAAACTGCACAGACATAGGTACAGCGTGTTTTCGAAGTATTTCCTAACCTTGGGGTAGGGAAAATTGATAATATCTGAGTTGCTTTCCATTTTCAGGATTTTTTAATTTTGTATCTTCATAGAAAAGATATATATGGTACTAAATGTTTACTTCCTACATTGTGAATTTATGGTGATATCCTGTTTTCTTATATTCTGAGAAGTTACTACAAATGCCTTTCTGGTACAGAAAACTATTACAGAAAAAGGAGAGAAAGAAATCAATGATTCAAGAAGTTGACCTCACAGACATTACATTATCACCCAGCTGGCACCCTCTACTAATCACTCAAAAACTAGTTTTCCAAACAGATAAAACAGGTACTCCTAGTAACGGTGGTGGAAGTGGTAGGAAAAGTAATTATATACTATGAACTGATAAACATCACTCTAATGGAAAGTTTCCAAAGTCGGGTCCAAGCGTGCTCATCCTGCAGAATCTTAGTATGTTCTGTGACCCCAATGAGTCTGGGTTAGAACAAGCTAAACAGGTTACCAGGCAGGACTCTCTGACTTGCATTGTTAATGTAAGGTGCGAATTTCTAAGAGCAAAAAGGAAATACAGTATTCCTAAACTCATTTAATCACAGAACCCTTTTTGCATGGAATACTTTCTAACACAAATGTTCCATAGTTCACATTTTAGGAAAAATACAATAGATAATGTATTTCCCTGTCAATATTTTCTGATCAATGTTCTTCAATATCATTAACAGTGATAAAATTGGCGTAGAAATCACGATAACGACAATTGCAAAACTGCAGAATATTATAAATTCCACTTGACCTCCAACCTAACATTTAGGTGCTCCGTTCATTATGCAGTACTTATATCTGTGCCCAGTTTAAAGTTCTTTATACCTGCCCCACTGTTAGTGTAAAGAACAAAGTAAACAAACATCCTTACTTTTGCTTTTCAGTTTGGAGTTGCTCCTCCTGAGCTTTGCACAAGTCCTCGTTAAGGCTGATGATTTGGTCACAGGGTACAGACGGAGAAACATAAGTTTCATCAGCTGGCAGATCATCAAAGCATGGCTTTCTGAAGGCATAGGAGTCACCACAGCAGTGACCTACACCAGTATTGATAGGCTCAGCCTCATGTCTTCTGCATAAAGCTCCAAGAATTAGCTTCGCCTTTCCCAGAAAAGAATTACAATAAGTGCCGTAAGGTTTATGGTCTTCCCCCCAACCCCCCGATAGAAAAATAAGATTATATTTAAGTATTCTCAGATCCTAGATTCTGCTAGTTCTGTCTGGATTTCAATGTTTGGGAAAAAGCAGGAGTGCCAGGTGCAGCTTGGTTCCAGCCTTGTACTCCCTCTTGCAAGTCATCTTCACTTTGAGTTCACTTGGATCCCACCCCAGGTTCCTCCCCAGCCCAGTACTAGACTAGAGGTGACTTGAAGCAAGAGTTTCTTATGCTCCACCAAAGCCTCAAGGCAACATTACTACAAATTTACCTCAGACATAAGACTAATGATTCTTACTTAATAAGCTCAAATCCAATTTGCTTCTATTTTTATAACTGGACATCTGTAACCACCACAGAACTAGACACATGACAGATGCTCTATGTATATTTGTTTAATGAATAAAAAATGGATAAACAAATGATGAAAGAATTCATGGTTCCAATTTTAGTTACCTCTTTCATATCCTTGTCCCCTTCTAGAACTGGGACATTGCTTTGCTCCCAGCTTGGTGTCCTGGACACTGATACTTTTTCTGATGTTGTCGACAAGCCTGCCTGTATGCCTGTCTGAGTACAAAGACTACCCAAATTCCCTGTCACTAATGTATATGGGATGAAGTAATTGAGACCAGTGAACATCCACATTTAATGTAAGAGTTTATCCATTTCAGAAGTAGCTGAAGAGATTGCCTGTAAACAAGGCTTTGGGAATATACAAGTCTAATCAGAAGTGTTCCCCAAAGAAGGCATGACTATATGATAAAAGTTAGTAATAAAATAAAAGGAAAGCGGGGCTAGAGTAATAAAAACTTTTAAATCTGCAACCTAAACAATTATATTTTATCAGAAGAAAGATCAAGTTAGCATAAAGAGATGCTCTACCAAGAACATAGGGCAGAGAAAGGCTGTAACTGAATCAGAATTCAGTAATGTTAAAATAATAACTGCTTAAGAGAGAAATAATAGGTCCCTGGGTGGCACAAACAATTTGCACTCAAATACTAATCTAAAAGCTGGCGGTTCAAACACACCAAGCAGTACCATGGAAGAAAGTTCTGGTAATTTGCTTCTGTAAAGATTACAGCCAAAAAAAAAACTATAGAGCAGTTCTATTCTATAACACATGGGGCGAGTCAGAATCAACTCAATGGCAAGGAGTTTGGATTTTTGTTTATGAGAGAGAAATACTAGATCTCAGAGACTTGAACATCCTGGTTCCTGGAGAGATGTTCTCCACTGTGAGGGAGGAATAATTTTTCATGCCTCACTATAGCCTGGAAGAAATATCGCTTGATACCATCCATGTCCTTCTTCTGACTCCATGTGCACTAATACCCACATCCTAATTGAGTTTCCCAAACATTCTGAATGAGGAAAAAGTGTACTCTAGAAGGCATACAGATACTTGTACACCAATGTTCATTGCTGCATTATTCACAATAGCCAAAGATGGAAACAGCCTAAATAATCCGTAAGTGGATGAATGGATAAACAAAACATGGTACATACACATAATTTAATATTACTCAGCCATAGAGAGAAGTGAAGTTCTAATACACACTACAACATGGATGAAGCTTCAAAACATCATGCTGAGTGAAATCAGTCACAAAAGGATAAATATTGTATGATCCCACTTACATGAAATATCTAGAGTAGGATAGTTGTATAGAGATCAAAGTGCTTTAGTGATTACCAGGGGCAGATGAGAGAGGGGAAAGGTGAAACAGAATTATTAGGGGAACACTGAGCATCTGTTAAGGATGACAGAAAAATTTGAGAATGGTAATGGTTGAACAACATGATGAACATATTTCATATCACAGAACTGTACATGTGAAATGGCAAATGTTTTGTTACCTATATAATTACAACAATTAAAAAACAAAACAAAACTGTACCCTAGATCTTAGACCCAATTACTCCTGCCAGTGGAAAGGGATATTGCTCATTGTAAATGAACACACTACTGTTCTGTCTGTAAATTTAATTTGTGTAAGTTTGATTTAGATGAACTAGGTTAAAATTAGCATTATCTTTGAAGCTGCTAACAAGATCACTTTTGTTGACCCAAAAATCTAAGGAATAGGTCCTGGGATACCATCCTAGGAAAGGCCTGGGGAATCTGATATCCTCAGTGTTAGAGAGGTGACAGTCTTACACCTGTTGCTAACCAAAGACAGTTGGCATGAGCTGACCTGTGAGAATTTCTCCAGAGGACATAATCATTAGGCTCCATTGACAGTTCACAGATGTGTACCCGGAAGTGAGACTGATTGCTGGAGGATGGAGCTATAACTTTCAAGGAGAGGCAAATGTAAAGGCACAGACATGCTTACCGAGTCCTCAATGCAGGCAAACTGTTGTTCCTCACTCAATGGACAGCATTTGGAGGCAGCAGTTGCCATGTTCTTTGTGAACACAACCAACTCTTCAGCAGATAGTTGTGGGGCTTTCTTAGTATAAAGGACTATGAGCCTGAAAGAATAATTTCCTCTTACTTCTGATAGTGGCTATGTGCCCAAACATAAAAAATTCTACAGAATATAAAGAATTCCTCAATATCTGGCATTATCTCTGATTTAGGATGAACAAGGCATTAAAGTGAGTTTAATTCTATCCTTTTAGTCCTTGTTCCAATGGCCCAATAGCTTATTAAAGATACATGGAATTCTCTTCCCAACTCACATACTGCTCCACCATGATCTAACTTTGTTCTGTTTATCAGGGATGCTATGACAGCTAATTTGGATGGCTGTGAATTAGACTTGGAATAAACAGCTTCTGAAATAAATATATGCACAGGCCATTATGACTTTTATTGATTGTCTTCAAAGAGTTAAGCATTTTTCTGGGTATTCCTGATCAGAAAGCTGTCCATACTCTCATGGGACTCACACCCTAGTGGGGGAAATCAACAAGGACCGAATGTAGTGACAGGAGGACAGAGGGCTACAGGCACACATAGAATGACATCGAATCCCATCCCAGAAAGGTCAGGCAGGGCTCTGAAAGGAAATGCCATCTAAGGTGAGATCTGACAGATGACTAGGAATGAGCGAGGTGAAGGGGGGAAAAAGTGGGAGGGGAGCATTTGGGAAATCATTCGATGTGGATTTGTTTTCATGGTTGGGGTGGGGGGGCTGGAGATTGGAGAGAGAGGAAGGGAGAAAGCTTAGTTACAGAGTCAGAATTACATTGTTTTTTTAATCATTATGGTTTCTGTAAAAAGATTGAATTGGAGGTAGGGAAAAGGCAAAGTGAGAGAAGAAATTGTGCTCTAGCAGTCCATATAAAAGATTGCCTGAACTAGGGGAGTGGTGGTGGGAACTGAGATAGAGAGAGATCTTAAGGAGGAAGACCGTAACAGAACTTAATTTGAGGACAAAGAATTGGAATCAATTACTGCAATTCTATAGTAATGGAGTTGGGGGAAGAGTTTAGTTTTCACAACATCCAGTGAAACAGTTCACCTAATCCGTGGTTCTCAAAGTGTGATCCCTGGACTAGCAGTATCAGCATCTCCAGGAGTTTGTCGGAAATGCCAGTTCTCAGGGTCTACCCCAGCACTACTGAATGAGAAACTCAAAGTGGGATCTGTGTTTTAATAAGCACTCCAGGTAATTTTAATGTACTCCATATTTTGAGAACCATAGATCTAATGCTTAAGAAGGTCATTAGCAACTGAGCACAACATAATAGAAAAGTAATAAGCCAAATATTCCTTCTGAAACAAGAATACTTTTTCTGAACCCATTTTTTCTGGACATTTAATTTAAGCTCAATATTATGAGGCATTATATCAAACTGAACTTTTCCTCAATACTCTGCTTCTAAATATACTATAATATTAAGATCCTAAAGATTACTAAAAATTGGCTTTTGATTTTTGATATCTCAAGCTTTGAAATACTATGAGCTTTACCAGGCTCTACACATGAAGAAGTAAGTGTGTTCCTTCTGGCAAATAACTAAGATGTTGATCTATCTCTTGTCTTGGTGGTGAAAATGCTAGATTTTCCATATGAACTTGACTTGAAACAGACAAAGGAACTATACATTAGGTGTCTGTTACAGCGTTGACACAAAATCACAGAATTTTTCAGGATTACAGTGTTAGGGAGGCGTCCTGTGTGATTGCAGGGGGCAGCAAGGGCCTACTGTGATCCACAGCCTCTGAGCCTTGAGTGGCATCCAGCGAACTGGCCTGGAGAGCACTGTAGAAACACCCAAGGTTGTGTAGACATCTATCTTATCAAGACAAAGAGAGCTAGGTTAATTTTGAACTGATATTTTCCTTGGCTTCCAAGATTTTAAGGTTAGATCTAAACTCTTAGCAATTCTCAAAATCAGGAGTTAACTAAAAGTCACTAACAAACATAAACACAGAGAATATCTTTGAAACGTACCTGTTGTGGAAGTTACTCTCTCCTAATGTCTCATGTAAAGCACAGTAATATTTTACATGCTCATGGCTTTCCTGAACCACTCTTTGGAATATCTCTTTCTGAAAAAAAAAAAGACGATCAGTGTTTACCTATGATGGCAAATATGTATCCAGAGGTAAGATTGCGAAACTACCTTCTGTGATAGTTTAATATTACTGTTTTCCTAAACCCAAGGCTTTATTTACCTTGTGAGTTTGCAAATCTTGAAAAACATGTTTTGCTAAAAGATGAACCAATATGTACTTTGTGAAGAAGAAATGAGAAAGCAGGAATAATATTAAGTTTCCCGTGATATAAACCAACTCATTTGTGGGTTTACATGACATATTTTATATGCATAAGGTGAATCATTCTTCAAGTGGGATTCAAGATTCAGTCTTCAAGCCAGAAAGAGATCTTTGTTGTTGCTGCTGTTAGGTGCCCTCGAGTTGGTTCCGACCCATAGCAACCCTATGTATGACATAAGGCAATGCTATCCGGCTGCACCAGCCACACAATCGTTGCTATGTTTGAACCTATTGTTGCAGCAGCTGTGTCAATCCATCTTGTTGAGGGTCTTCCTCTTTTTCACTGACCCCTTACTTTACCAAGCATGATAGCCTGCTTCTGGGACTGGTCCCTCATGATAGCATGTCCAAAGTATGTGAGACTAAGTCTTGTCATCCTCGCTTCCAAGGAGCATTCTGGTTGTACTTCTTCAAGAGAAATTTGTTTGTTTTCATCTGGTAGTCCATGGTATATTCAATATTCTTGACCAACACTACAATTTCAAGGCATCAATCCTTCTGTCTTCCTTATTCATTGTCCAGCTTTTGCATGCATATGAGGCGATTGAAAATATCAAGGCTTAGGTCAGGCTCACCTTAGTCCTCAAAGTGACATCTTTGCTTTTTAACACTTTAAAGAGGTCTTTTGCAGCAGATTTGCCCAATGCAATATGTCATTTGATTTCCTGACTGCAGCTTCCATGGACATTGATTGTGGATCCAATATAATGAAATCCTTGACAACATCAATCTTTTCTCCATTAATCGTGATGCTCTTATTGGTCCAGTTGTGAGGATTTTTTTTTCTTTATGTTTGAGGTGTAATCCATACTGAAGGCTATAGTCTTTGATCTTCATCAGTAAGTGCTTCAAGTCCCCTTCACTTTCAGCAAGGAAGGTTGTGTCATCTGCATATTGCAGGCTGTTAATGAGTCTTCTACTAATCCTGATGCCACATTCTTCTTCACATAGTCCAGCTTCTCTGATTATTTGCTCAGCATACAGATTGAATAAGTATGGTTAAAGGATGCAACCCTGATAATCTTCATTGGTCAGTGTGTGTGTGTGTTGGTTATTTTTAATACATATTGCCTTTTTTCATAAGCAATACAGATATAGAGATATAGGTACAGGTATGGAAATATAGACAAGTATTAACAAGTCATGGTTTAATAGAAACACATACCAGTGGTGAACATAGTAAGCACTCTGCAAATAGACATTGAAATTAATCAAATAAATCTTTCAGAACAAAAGGAAAATACAAGAAATTTTTGAACCATGAAAATAAAATTCCATTGGGAAGATACCAGTGACCTTACAGGCTTAGTTCTTTTGTAGGAGAATTGGTTATCCAATTCAGTCCACCCGATTGTATCAGATTTGCAAATAGTTGACCCGGATTTAATAGCCCTGTTCTTACCACTTATGTAATGTTGGGCAAGTCACCTAAACCTTCTGAATCTCAGCACTCTCACCTGTAAGATACAGTTGATTATTGGCATTGTCTATTTTACCAGGCTGTCGTAAGGATCAAATAGGACACTCTTGTGAAGCTGCTTTGTAAAGTCTGAAACTCCATGCTCCTGTAAGATGTTGTTATCATCATGAGTATTTTGGAGGCCTTCTGTGATGGTAGGAGAAGGTGCTTACTATAGAAGAGTAAGTGATACTTATCCTTCTCTCTGGGAGCAGACAGATGCTAGGTGTACCTGTTTGAACCTTGACAGGGTAAGAGATGCCACTTTGCATCTCCCCAATCCTCTGTAAGTAGATAGGTCATTGATTAAAATAACAAGCCAGAACCATCCTGGCTCAGGGAAAACTATGGACGCCTGAACTTCTGACCAGAGGTTTGTGAGGCCACCTGCTTTTTCATGTCAAATACACAGCAGACATTACTACCTCTGAACAGGATGATTTTTGGAATGAGATAAAGGCAGTTTCCAGGCCTGCTTGGTGAAACCAGTAGACCTTTTCACACTCTAATAGGCTGCGCTTTCATGTTACCAGCCATGGTGTTGAGCAAGCATCTATAGTCCCTTCAAAGAGGATATTACACAGAGAAGGTCTTAGGAAGCACAGAATCTACCAAGTAGCGTCTCTCCCAGAGAGTTACTGAGGTTTGATGATGTGGCGTTTGGTTTAGATGGATATCATGTTTCTCGTCTAGTACTTGCAGTTAGCAAGAACATGAATAATCATCTTACAAAAGCATGGTACTACTCAAGGCACTGCAATTTTTCCTGTTTTTAGTTACGTATCTGTAACAGCTTAAAAAAAAAAAAAGAAAGAAAGTAAGACATTTACCCCATGGCTATAGCATTCCAGCGGGTTTTGTAATGTGCAGCATTTTCCCAATAAATTTTGATACACTGCATCCACTCTTAAAATCACCGGAACTGCCAATTTTGGATGTCTTCTTGAATATTCATAAAGAAACCTGTATCATATGAAACATATTAGAAAGTAAACAGTAAAATTCAGAGGCCACAGGTTTTCTTTCCGAAGCCAATTATGACTCTGAAATGTATCCAATATTTTAATTTGACCATTTGATCATTATGAAAACCTCAGGGGGTAGGCAGAAAGGTTTTGTTGCCTCTGTTTTGAGATAAGGAAACCAAATCACTGGCATTAAGTAATTTTCCCAAAGTCACGTAGTACTGAGTGGCAGATCCAGAACTTGAACCTAAAATATCCTGATTAGCTGGTTGTTTCTGGCCCAAGGTCTCGACTGACTTTTAGTGGAAATTAATTTCAGGGTTTTTATTGAGAATACATTTCCTCAATGATCTTGGAGGTGAAATTTTATAAATATTACAGTTTTTGTGTATATGTATTTTTTTAAGTGCTGGCTAATATTGCATCACCAACCTCTCCCCTTTTCCAAACAAGCCATCATGGTGAGTGATCCATGCATAATCTAGACATTGTTCTGGGTTGCAAGAAAGAGAAATTTAGACTCTAGTATATTTTCAAAGGAATCATAGAATCACAGAAGGGGCCTTTGAGGTTATTTTCATCAATCACCACAGTTTACAACTGGAACACAAAGATCCGAAGCAATGGAGTAACTTACTTGACTTACACTCCAAAGCTTATGTGATAAAGATGGGACTGGTCTCCAACTCCTTGTCCAATATGCTTTCTGCTAGTAAGATGTGCCTGTCAACTTCTTTTTCAGTACCAAATGCAAGTTTAAGAATTTGTAAAAAGTGGGTTTATATAATGGCATCTACTATTGTAAGTCAGTATCACACATAATTTCAGAAACATAACTAGTGTTATTCTCCAAAGAACTTCGAGGGAAATGCAAATTCTTATAAGATGTTGAAATTTAGCTGTTCCCAATAATTCTTCACAAAGTGAATTTGAAAATATTTCAATCACATAGCAACATTGTCTTAATATTATATGCTGAAATCAATTTGCCTTACATACAAATTGATATGCACTTCTGAACGGACATCAGAAATGTTCATAGTCCATCTCTCTAAACTTCAAATGCCACACCATGTGTTTGGTAAAAACTAGTTGCTGTTGAGTTGACTCTAATTTATGTCAACTTCATGTGTGTCAGAGTAGAGCTGTACTCCATAGAGTTTTCAATGGCTGATTTTTTGGAAGTAAATTACCAGGACTTTCTTCCAAGGAACTTCTGGATGGATTCGAGCCACCGACCTTTCAGTTAGTAGTAGAGCACATTAACAGTTTATACCACCAGGGAATCCTATAGGTTTGATTGTTGATGTTGTTGTTGTTAGATGCTGTCAAGTTGGTTCTGACTCATAGCGACTCTATGTACAACAGAACGAAACACTGGCCGGTCCTGCACCGCCCTCACAATCATTGCTATGTTTGAGCCCATCATTGCAGCCATTGTGTCAATCCATCTCGTAAAGGGTCTTCTTCTTTTTCACTGACCCTCTACTTTACCAAGCATGATGTCCTTCTCCAAGGACTGGTCCTTTTTGATAGCATGTCCAAAGTATGTGAGACGAAGTCTCGCCATCCGCACTTCCAAGGCTGTACTTCTTCAAGACAGATTTGTTTGTTCTTCTGGCAGTCCATGGTATATTCAGGATTCTTTGTCAACACCATAATTCAAATGCATCAATTCTTTTTCGGTCTTCTTATTCATTGTCCAGCTTTTGTATGCATATGAGGCAATTGAAAATACCATGGCTTGGGTCAGGTGCACCTTAGTCCTCAAAGTGATATCTTTGTTTTTTAACACTTTAAAGAGGTCTTTTGCAGCAGATTTGCCCAATGCAATATGTGGTTTGATTTCTTCCATGGGTGTTGATTGTCAATCCAAGTAAAATGAAATCCTTGACAACTTCAACAGTTTCTCTGTTTATCATGATGTTGCTTATTGGCCCAGTTGTGGGGATTTTTGTTTTCCTTATGTTAAGGTGTAATCTATACCGAAGGCTATAGTCTTTGATCTTCATCAGTAAGTGCCTCATGTCCAATAGGTTTAGTAGTAGGTATTAAATTGAATAAGGAAGACAGAAGAAGAATTGATGCATTTGAATTGTGATGTTGGCGAACAATACTGAATATACCATGGACTGCCAGAAGAATGAACAAATCTGTCTTGGAAGAAGCAGAGCCAGAATGTTCCTTTTAGAAGTGAGGATGGTGAGATTTCATATCATGTACTTTGGACATGTTATCAGGAGGGACCAGTCCCTGGAGAAGAGGACATCAGGCTTAGTAAAGTAGAGGGTCAGGCAAAAGAGAGGAAGACCCTCAACGAGATGAATTGACACAGTGGCTGCAACAATAGGCTCAAGCTAAACAATTGTGAGGATGGCGCAGAATCAGGCAGTGTTTTATTCTGTTGTGCATAGGATCAATATGAGTTGGAACTGACTCAACGGCACCTAACAACAACAGCAACATTAAATTGATTAGAATAGAAAAGCTGACCAGATGCCAATCCTAAGCTCTTGCTCATCTCTAAGTGCCTTAAAACAAAATTTGTTAATACTTGGTCCTCTCTCTGTTCTTTAAAATTCCTACAGTAGTTGTTAACATTTAAAAAATCAACTAACTTCACTTAAACCACAACAATAAAAAAATAAAAATAAAAAATCAAGAGATTTCCAGCTTCTCTCAAGGCCTGCATTCACATATGGCAACAATCAGCTGGAGGTGCCAGCTTTGGACTTCACAGAGCATAACCTCTTGGCCACAGTTCTCAGTCAATCATTTGTGTCATTGTTGGCACCTGTCATCATTTAAGTTCGCAATCCCTCCCAAAGAATTCATAAATGCAATATTCATTACTAAGATTTTATGAAAAGCTATATTACTCTTGTAGAAAGTCGTCTTGCTTGTCAGTGAATTGTTTGCATACAAATCTGTCTTCGGTAAACCTGCTGAGTGGCAGGGATGAGAGGTCAGGTTTGTCATCATTTTCTGAGGTGATAATGCATTCCCCTCGAAATGGCTCTGGCTGCTCACAGCACTTAGTAATTCTGCTGGGTAAGATAGCCTGTTTAGAGCAGGTATAGTTCATAAGCTGGCTCTAGAAAACATAAAGTGGAGCAGTTATTTTTAACTGTTTCACTCTGAACGTATTTATTTTTATTAGCAGGAGAAAACCAGAGAAAGAATTTAGTACCTAGATTGTTTTATCTGTGGCATACTGGGAGATTAAAAAGGTCATTTATAGTGACTCACTCGAATGAGGAAAAGTTTTCCATTTGATCTTACCAAGTGTCACAAGCTCTTTTAACATCTTTTACAGAACATAAGGGAAAACAGATTGTTATTGTTTCCCTGTTTACCTCAACAAAATATAAGTGAAGGGTTTTATTGTGTTGCTATTGTTATTGTTTTGGACTCCCAGTTCAGGAAGCATTTTGTCTCTGAATCATATCACAATTTGTTCACTTACTATACACGATACATCTCCGCACACACATATACATATTTATTTATACACACTTACACACAAATAAATATGTGTGTGTGTGTGAATAAACCAGTCTCTGTACTTAAGGAACTCACAATCTAGTTGGAGAGTCAAATATTTAAAGAAAAAATAAAAATGAGGAACTCACAATCTAATTGGAGAGTCAAATAACTAAAGGAATAATGATAATAATAATGCATCATAATAGAAGCTTTAACACAAGTGCACACGTGATGCTTAGGGAGAAGAAGATATTGTCCGGCCAGGATGGAGGTCAGAGTGAAGATCCTGAAAGAGCTGGGTCTGGAAAGACAAGTAGAAGTAAGTTGTGAGCAGATGAGTAGGAAAGGCATTCTAGAATCAGTTTTTATATATGAAGAATCTTAGAGGTGAGAGAGCATGACATATTTGGAAACGTTATATAGCGGCATATTTGGAGGATTTTGAGAAAAATTAGACAACAGATGACGAGGTTAAGAACCAAAGCAGTCACTGGGTACACTTAAGCACCACTGAGACACAGAATTAACAAGATTTTAATAAATTATAATAAGGTTAGGGGTAAGGGGGAGTGAGAAAGAAGAATCTAGGATGATATGGGGGACTGGGTCAATGGTACCACATTTTACTGAAATTGATATTCAAGAGAAAGAATAGATTTGGGGAGGGCAACTGGAGAGAGAAGCCAAGGAGCTCATTGTCAAAATACAGAGTTTAAGATGATTTTGAGGCCTCTGAGGAATCCTGGTGGTGCAGCGGTTAAGTGCTGGGCTGCTAACCGAAATGTTGCTGGTTCAAACCCTCCAGCGGCTCCACGAGAGAAAGATGTGGCAATTACTTCTGTAATACGCCTTGTAAACCCTGTGGGGCAGTTCTACTTTGTCCTATAGGGTCGCCATGACTCGAAATCGACCCCACGGCAATGGGATGAGACACCTATATGGGGATTTCCTGTAAGCATTTAGGGGTATAGATTAAGGGCTCAGGAAAGAAGAGTGGGCTAGAAGTCTAGATCTGAGAGTGGTCAATTGTAGCTACATTACGGGGTCAGGATGAAATTGATAAGGGAGAAAGTGTACATTAATTAAGCAAGTAGCACACTCTCAGGGGCTTATCAAATCAGTTTATTTCTCTCAATAAAGTCCTACTGGAGAGGGGAGGGGTTATCTCCTCCAGGCAATAGTTCTGCGAAATGGCCTGACAGGTTCTTTCATCTTTACTCTTTGGCTTTCAATATTGCCCTCAGCATTAAAATCTAGCCAGGAACTGAGGATGTTGGAGGAAATCCCAGGAGTGTTTTAGGGGCCAGGCCTAGAAATGGCATAAATCACTTCCAGGCACACTCCATTAGGCTGTTGTGAGACAGGCAGGGAAATTCAGTCCCCGACCCAGCAACTGTTCTGCACTGTGGTAAGGGAACCTAAATCCTTGATGGGGGCTAGCCATCTCTGGTAGCATGTGTAAAGTAAGAAAGGAAAAGAACCAAGCACAGAACTGTAGGGAAAACCAATTTTTCAAGGGCAGTTGGAGGACAAGGAGCTCACGATGAAACTGAGACTAGAAAGCCAGGATGTGGGAAGGAGACAGGAACAGAGCAGTGTCTGGAGCGCCAAAAAAGTACAAACTCCTAATGAGGAGATATTGGTGTAAAATATCTCAAATTTCAAATGATACTTGGGGTAAAGAATGCATTGAAATTGCCTTTTTGGGGCCTCATTGGCAGCTTCACCAATAGCAGCTTCAGTGGTGAGGCCCATGCCGGGTAACTGTCAGCGAGAAGCAAACAGGAGGTTAAGGAAATAGGGACAATTCATACTAATTGCTCTTTTAGAAGGTTTGACAGGAAAGAGAGAGAACAATTTGGGCTGTAGCGGAGAGGGCACCTAGGAACATAGGGTACACACACAAGCACACACACACAAATACAAACTAGAAGACTTAGACTTGATATGTTTCTATTCTGAAGGGAAACAGCCAGTAGAAAAAATTGAAAATACAGGAGAGAAGGTGAAAATTGACAAAAGAAACTGAGGATACAGGCATTCCAAGAAGACAAAAAAATTCTCCCCCCATCTATTATCTTCTAGACAGCACCTTCGCAGTCATCATTGGAAAAATAAATTAGTGCAGTGGTTGGCAGATGTCCTGCGCTCTAATCTTATCTCTGCCACTTTCTAGCAGTGTGACTTCCATTAAAAACAGAGCCTGGCACACAGTAAGTGCTTAAAAGTGTTTGATAAATAAAGTGTTCAGAATTACTGCTTGGCACACAGAGAGATTTCAAAAATGTTAGTATCATAGTAATTATTACACAACCATAGAATGTTGTTCCTATAATGCCTTGAAGTCAGAAAACAGAGAACCTTACCACATAAAATTAAACTATGTTAAGTGAGTGATACAATTAACTGTTAAACTGTATTAGTGGTTACAAGCTCAGGCTGCTAACCAAAAGGTGGACAGTTTGAATTCACCAGCCGCTCCTTGGAAACCCTATGGGGCAGTTCTGTTCTGTCCTATAGGGTCGCTATGAGTTGGAATCGACTGGATGACAATGGTTTTTTTTAGTATTAAGAATTAATATCCATTATAACATATTTGCTTTGTGAGTTGGTGTGATGTTTTGAAGCAGTCTGGTAAAGTATAATTAGCACTGATAAAAACAGACAATTTTCTAAGACACACAACTCAAATGCATGCAATCCATTACGCCCTTCCTTAAAGCATTATGAGAAATTCTCTAATCAAAAGAGAAGTAAATCGGTATAATAAAATAAACAGTGGAAAATATAAAATAAATGATAGTTAAGTAATTACTATTAACAAAATTATTTTAAAAGAATGACTATAAATAAATTAAGAAAACAACTGGGATAAAAGCAATCAAACAAATCTGAGGAGACAATAAAATTAAGAGTGAAACTCAGTAGGACTGATAAATAAGTTCAAGAACTTTGTATTGGAAAAGTTTATTTAGTAAATTAGATAATACCTTGGCAAGGCTAAATAATTACAAGAGAAATGAAATCCATGAGAAAAAAAGAGGTGAAATTACATAATTGGTGATGTTTTTAATTATCAAATGCTATTATATATAACTCTATATTCCTAAATGAAAAAATACTGATGAAGAGGCTTTTTAAGAAAATATATATTATCAAAACTGACAGACAAAGTAAACCATCACAATACACCACTAACAAGAAATATCAGACTAATATCCACCTCCATTCCCCTTCATCCCTCACCCCAAAACAGGTACTGAATCCTTACAGTTTCATGGGCGATTCTTTCAAACTTTCAAAAAACAGATAATTCTTACTATTATTTACATTATTTCAGAGACTTGAAAAGCAAAATAAGTTCTAATTTATTTATTCATTTGTTGGAAATTAGCATAGCTGATACCAAAACCTGACAAAGAATGTGCCAAAAAATAAAATTATAGACCATTCTCACATCTAAACATAAATGCAAATTTTTAAATTGTATATATATATATATATATATATGTGTGTGTGTGTGTGTGTATCAATCATGTCTAGAGATATAGTAAAATGGAATTGACTTGAGGAATATAAAGTTGGAAAATTAAGAACACTTTGAGGGACAGAGTAGCAGTGGATGGGGTCTAGGGACCATGGTCTTGGGGGACATCTAGGTCAATTGGCATAACAAAGCTTATTAAGAAAATGTTCTGCATCCCACTTTGGTGAGTGGCATCTGGGGTCTTAAAATGCTTGTGAGCGGCCATTTAAGACACATCAATTGGTCCCAACTCACTTGGAGAAAAGGAGAATGAAGAACACCAAAGACACAATGAAAATATTAGCCCAAGAGAAAAAAGGGCCACATAAACCAGCAACTTCATCAGCCTGAGACCAGAAGAACTAGACGGTGCCCAGCCAGCACCAATGACTGCCCTAACAAGGAACACAACAGAGAGTCCCTGACAGAGCAGAAGAAAACTGTGGAGCAGAACTTAAATTCCCATAAAAAGACCAGACTTAATGGTCTGACTGAGACTGGAGGAACCCTCGAAACCATGGCCCCCAGACACTCTGTCAACCCAGAACTAAAACCATTCCTGAAGCTCACACTTCAGACAAAGATTAGACTGGACTATAAAACATAAAATAATACTCATGAAGAGGGTGCTTCTTAGTTCAAGCAGATACACAAGACCAAACTGGCGGCTCCTGTCCAGAGGCAGAATGAGAAGGCAGGAAGGGACAGGCGCTGGTTGAATGGACACAGGAAAACCAAGTGGAAAGGGGGAGTGTGCTGTCACATTATAGAGATTGCAAATGGTGTCATATAACAATATGTGTATAAATTTTTGTATGGGAAATTAACTTGAGCTGTAAACTTTCACCTAAAGCACAGTAAAAAAAAATAATAAATCTTTTAATATAATTTGCCAATGAATAAGTCAAAAGATAGAAATGAAAAATGCTCATCCTAAAATGACAAAAAAAATTATGTTTGGAATCCATTCTAATTAAAAACAAAACAAAAACACCTCTAAAATAACATTAGAAATCTGTTAGCACATAAACAATATCTTTGTCAAACCAATAACTCTAAATCTGTTCCCATTATAGGCTGGACTAAGACAAGAATGCCAGAACAACCTGCAGTTGTTTAACATTGTGAAGACTAGTCAATACAATTAAATAACGTAGGTTATTCTGGCATTCCTGTTGTAGTCCAGATTACAGTGGGAGCAGTTTTGGAGTTTCTGGTTTGGCATAAGTATTGTTACTATGCTGCAGGATCTTAGAGATTTTGTTTAAGTAAAGTGGATTCCATGAATCCTCAAAGATCCTTGTACTTTTTCCTCAATTTTACCTAATCTTCATGCAAATAGGATTCTGACAACCTGTCCCGAAGAGCTAGCACTCCTTCGAAGAATGCAGCATAGTATTCCCTCCAGCACCATCTGAGATTCTTGGCTTGCAAAAACAGCAAACCAAGGAGCAACTTTAAATTGTCCAACTGGAGGATGGGATTGGCAGTGGTGGCTGCCCCTTTACTCAGTGATGGCGCTGAAAGCGACACTGAAGTGGCAACTCAAATAGCTACCAAGGAAAAGCTATGCTTGAATCATAACTCTTTGTGCCAGAGAAGGAGAGATTTTAGGACTTGGAATTCTAGGAATTCTGTTGAGTGCTCTAGTCAATGATTTTGCATTTTAATTACTATTGCTACCCACATCCCTTAATCTGTTGTGTAATAGGACTAAAATTGTCGGGTTTGGGTTTTTTGCCCATAGAGTCAGCGGTCTGACATGAAATGGGGATATTAGTTTTAGTTTGTTTCTGCTTTTCTTTTTAAATCATGATGAAAAGTATTCAATTTTCAATTTGCAGAATGAATGGATACATAACTTATAACTTGTGACTTAACTAAAGCCTTTTCAGATTTTTGATAGTTACTATGTTTTCCCTCTTTGGATTTGGGGACTTTATATTTAAATGCGGGGCAGGTGAGTTTCATGCTGTCCCTGCCCCTACTCCCCATGTTCCCTGATACTAGGCATTTGTCTTTGATCACTTCCACTTCTTCTCAGGCTGATGTGGCCTGGGCATGTCAGTTGCTATTCTTGAGATTCTGCAAAAGACTTAAAGATGAATGAAATAAAGTGTTAATTCAGAAGGAAACTAGAAGCCAGCTCTAAAAATTCACAGAATAGTGGAATAATCTGAAGGACAGGGAAGGGAGGGAGGGAAGGAAGGAAAAATGGGAAGAAGAGAGGAAAGCAAGAAGGAGGGAAGAAGGGGGAAACTGATGCATGAGTTGGGAAGAGAGGGAGGGTAAACAATATTCTACAAGTAATATTGAGAAATGACACTTACTTTTTTAAATTTATTATACTACTGCCGCCTTTATTTAAGAAATATACATTTGTAAAGGCTGAAATGAGTTTTAAGAAAAAAGAGAATCTTACCCTGCCAAACACACATTCTACTGTATTTCCTTCACAACAGGTCTCATGCAAATTTTTAATATCCACGGTCAGTTTGGCAATTTCAGAAAAGTTAGCTTTAAGTTCTTTTTTAGTCAGCAGAACTAATTCCCTGGAAAGAAAAATAAATAAATTCATTTTCCAAGTAGTTCAAATTCAATTCTTCTCAAAATTAGCTCTAGTTTCAAAAGAATAGAAATACATTTTCAAATGTGAAATGTATTATAAATGCATTCTATTTCTTCAAAAATAGTACCCAGAGCCACACAAAGATCAAAGTCACAAAGCAAGCATAATTCAATTCATAATCATGCAAAATATGGTCATTTTCATAATTTAAATTATTCCTTGAAGAAGTTGAGTTGCTTAGATAGGTAAGGAAATGTAAGAGTTTATGTTCCAGTCTCCAGATTTCTTGCTGACTAATCTTGGGAATTTATCTGACCTGACTTTCCTAGGTAAAACTATTCCTTATAAAGACAGAAATTATATAATAGACTTTGGTCTCCCCTGGCTCTGTTGATACCTGATCAACATCCCTGAACTCTTCCTGAAAATAGGGAGAATGGGCCTGCCCTGTGAGGAAAACTGAGCTCCAGACAGCCCAATCTTGTCCTAATTTGGGAAAACCAAAAACCAAAACCAAACCTGTTGCCGGCAAGTCGATTCCGACTCATAGCGACCCTATAGGACAGCGTAGAACTGCCCCATAGGGTTTCCCAGGAGCCACTGGTGGATTTGAACTGCCAACCTTTTTGGTTAGCAGCTATAGCTCCCCATAGCTTTTAACCATTGCACCACCAGGGCTCCAAAATTGGGAAAGAAGGTAATATAAGTAAGACACCTATCTTCAGAGGTCAACTTAGACAGAAACATAATCTAGACCAAGAAATAGGCACACTGATTAACATCGGATTCTACTCCTACCCCACACTCCTCCATTTCCACCCAAAAAAAAATCACTTATTTTTTCTGTTCTACATGGTGTTGGAGCTAATATATTTTCTATCTTCCACGATAAAAAAATATTTTTGTCCTTTACGCATTAGCATGAAGAACAATCCAGTAAGTGCCTGCATCTGAATGTCCAGATACTTCTCTGCACTGGGGAAGAGCCTAAGGGATTTGAGGGGTGGCCAAAATTGAGGTAAGAGATAATGGAGGAATTGAGGATTATGCGTTTTCATCTACAGTCCTACATTCCCGATTCACCAGGTAAACAGTACTGTTGTTGTTAGGTGCTGCAGCATTTTTGTTGTTGTTAGATGCCATCAAGTCGGTTCCGACTCATAGTAACTCTACAGGACAGAGTAGAACTGCCCCATAGAGTTTCCAAGAAGCAGCTGGTGGATTTGAACCGCTGACCTTTTGGTTAGCAGCCAAGCTCATAACCACTATGCCACCAGGGCTCCGTAAACAGCATAGGTGTAGAGAATGGGGCCACGTTTGTATCAGGGCTTCAAACAGGTTCATTTCAGTTCAAACCCCCACTGAGAATTTGGATTTCCATCCCAGATGTACTGAATCAGAACCTACATTTTAACAAGATCTCCAAGTGATTGTGATGTAAAACTTCTTAGAAATGCAAATTCTCAGCAGACAATTGTTAGAAACATAAATTATCAGCAAGTGTTCCAACTGAAATGAACCCCTTAGAATCCCTGGTGTGTATGAAGAGGCATTATTAAATGAAGGATAAATGGTTTTCAAATGGGTTTAATCAAAAGATGTGAACCCACAGCAATAAAAGTCACAAGTCTGAAAAGGTAACTTACACTGCTTTTGCTACTCTGTGATTGAATTTAGTCCCAATTTCACATAAATGATGATGCCTCAAAGATATTTCTCTGGCATATTTTCTGATGGGTTCTAGCTGTAATCAGAAAAAAAAATCATCAAAGAAATATGGTAGTAACAGAAAAAGTTAATCTCATTTCTTACGGTAGAGGAGAGAAAAGTAAAAATTATATATCTCCTCAATATTAGATGGTCTCTTATTGATTTGTTTAAGAGGGGCCAAGATGCCAAAGCATAACATGGTGGTTTTTGTAAAATTGTATCTCACTTCTCTAGAGATCACTGTTCCAGAACCTCAAACCTTTGGACTATACAGGAGAACGAGAAAGTGAGCAAACAAAAGTGCGAAGAGTCACCAGAATACGTTGTAGTGATATCTTTTGTTTTTATTAAGCTGGCCAACCATGTCACCTTGGACGTGTTTCATATTGCTTATCTAAAATATATGCTCTAATACATACAATGGAATATTACGCAACCATAAAGAACAATAATGAGTCTGCGAAACATATTATAACATGAATGGGCCTGGAGGACATAATGCTAAGTAAAATAAGTCAAGCACGTAAGGACAAATATTATACGATCCCTCTTTTATAAGAAGACAAGCATAGACATATATAAAGAAACTAATGTTCAATGGTGGTTACCAGAGGGAGGAGGGAAGGAAGGGGGAAACATGCTTTAGATCATAAATACTTGTTATTTTTGGTGATGGGAAAAGTAGCACCAAATATGGGTACAGGAAGCATAGCATGACCAAAGAAATGATGCTGTTGAGAAGCACTCATGAGAAAAGGATGCCTGTACCAAAAAATTTGACATATATAAGAAGGCAACAAATCCAACAAAGTACAAAAAACGAGTCTAGGATCACATAAGAATGAGTCTAGGCATATACGTATACAGGTAGGTACAGGTGTAGACTTACGTGAGAACAAATAGACTTATCTACATGTACGTGTAAATACAGATATGTATAGGCAGACACATATACTCATTTAAGGCACAACTACAGATACTCCTCAGACACAACCAAACACCTTCTGAGATCAGTTTTCTGGGTTTGAAGGCTTAGGACCATAGTCTCATGGGACAACTCAGTCAATTGGCCTAACATAGCTCACAAAGATCATGTTCTGCATCCTAGTCAAATGAGTAGCACCTGGGGTCTTAAAAGCTTGCCAGTGGCCATCTAAGATACAGTTATTGGTCTCTACTCATCAGGAGCAAAAGAGTAAAAGGTAACAAAAATCTCAGAAAAGAAATAAGTACACAAGACTGATAGCCTACATGAGCCACAACCTCAACTATCCTGAGACCAGAACAACTAGATAGTGTCAGGCTACCACCACTGACCGATCCATCAGGGAACACAATAGATGATCCTGATTAGAATTGGAGAAAAAGACAGAATAAAACTAAAATTCTTAAAAATGGCCACACTAACTGGATCTCCTGAGGCCAGAGGACTTCCTGAGACTATCGCCCGGAGACGCTCTTTAAACCTTGAACCGAAACTGACCCCTGAGATCACCTTCTAACAGAAAAGCAGGGTGACACACAAAATAAAGGATATTACCTGTTAGATCGGACCTCTACTAAAAGAAACACCTGTATGAGTCCAAAAGGTCAACATTTAATTCACAGCAAAGATGAGAAATAAAGGGGGCAGGGAAACTAGAGTACTGGAAATGGAACAACCAGAACACAATTAATGAGAATGTTGACACAATGTGTAAAATGTAACCAATGTCTTCATCAATTTGTGTAGAAATTGCTAAAAGAGAACTTAACTTGCAGTGTAAACTTTCAACAAAACCACAATACAATGTTATTAAAATAAATAACAAGAGAAATAAAAATATATATGCTCCAATTTTGCAACATATATTAACAAAACTCCTTCCCCCCAAAAATGTTCATAGACTTTAACACAGAATTTCCACTTTTGAAACTCTACTAAACAAATAAAAACACGATTTTGCAAAAAGGAGTTCATGCGTATTTTATTGTGACAGTAAAATTTTAGAGACAAATAAAATGGTACAACAGCAGGGTGGTGGTTAAGTAAATAATAGCACATTATTTTTGACATGGTTTATACTTTTAAAGAAAAATAGGTATATTTAAATCTTTAATCAAAAGTATTATTCAGTGTTATCACAACCATATGCAAAATAAAATTTGCACATAGAAAATAAATATAAAGAAATATAACAAAATTGGACTGTATGGTAAGAATATAAGTAAACTTAAAATTTCAGAACAGCTCTATGTTTTCATTTAAAACATTACATTGACCAAATGTAATTTTTACAATGGGTTACTGTACCTTATAGTGCTATTTTTAAGAACAAACAATATTCAAACCACAAAACTGGCATAATCATCATTATTATTAATATTATTACCTTTATTTTATTGTCTCATTTAAAATCAAATAAAAATTAGCTTATACCCTTCTTCATAAGAGAGCCTGTCATGGATTAAATTGTGTCCCCCAAAAACATGTGCTGTAAATCCTAACTCCTATACTGTGGATGTAATGCATTTGGGATCAGGATTTTCTTTGTTACGTTAATGAGGCCATATCTGTGTAGGGTGTGTTTTAAACAATCACCTTTGAGATATAAAGTGAGCAGATTAGGCACAGAGAAGCAAGCAGAGATGGGGAAGATAGATGCCATGTCAGGTGAAGATCACCAAGGACACGAGGAACAGAAGCTGAAAAGAGACAAGGGCCTTCCCCCAGAGCCAACAGAGAAAGAATGCTTTCCTCTAGAGCCAGTGCCCTGAATTCAGACTTCTAGCCTAATTGTGCAAAAATGCACTTCTGTTGGTTAAAGCCACTCACTTGTGGTATTTCTCTTACAGCAGCACTAGATAACTAAGAGTCTCTGAGGCCTTAACTCATACACTACATTCTCCTATCATAGACAGATTTTTTACACAATTTATTATCTAATTTCTCCAAAGAAGGAGCCAGAGCTGCTGCAGATATCCTGGCAGCAGCAAGAAATGACCCGTGAACATTCCAAATGTGAGGGAAAGAAGAAAGAGCTCCTAACCGACTTAAAAACACTGCAGCAGATTAGGAACAAACAGCCTATATGTATCTAATGGCCCCTGGAGGCACCTTTGAATACAGCACAGTTTGTCGAGCTGACACCATATTGTCAAGAAACTTGATGTTAGGTGCCATCTAGTCAACTCATAGTGACTCTATGTACAACAGAACAAAACACTGCCCAGTCCTGTGCCATCCTCACAATCGTTGCTATGGTTGAGCCCATTGTTGCAGCCTAAAAAGCACAAAATCTGCTTAAAATTATAAGTGTATGTCATACATTTAAGAAAATATTCCACTGAAAAGGGTTAAGATTAAGACAGTGTTGTAAATTGTTAGTAAGCCCAAGTTACCTGAAAAACTCCCCTCTGTGGAATAGCTTCTTCAGAAATGCCAAGTAATGAGATACAGTTTATGCATGATCACTGGCTTTTAGATTTTAATTAATATAAAATCAGGAAGAAAAAAAAAAATTCTGCTTGAGAGTTCAGAATTAACTTCTGAATGAATTGGAGTTCACCAGGGGAGAGGGAGGTAAGAACTCATACGTTTGTTGTTGTTGTGTACCGTCAACTCAGCAGCCCCATAGGACAGGGTAGAACTGCCTCAGAGGGTTTCTTAGTCTGTAGTCTTTGTGAGAGCAGATCACCAGGTCTTTTCTCCTGCTGATGGCTGGTGGGTGCCAACCAACCACCTTTCAGTTAGCAGCCAAGCGCTTAACGGTTGCACCACCAAGGCTACTTACAGATATATAAAAATAGCTTTAATGATAATAGCTACCATTTATGGTGTACTTGGCATATGCCAGGAACTCTAGATACCTGATTTCATTTCTTACACAAAATGGACAATGAGGAGCTCAACAGGAGAAATAGGTGAAATTCTCATGGGGTTTAGAAGAAGATAAAATAATTTCTCACTGAGGAAATCAAAGAAAACAACAAGGAAAAAGAAGTATTTGCCTTTAGCCTTGAGAAATTCATCAGAATAATTATCAAACTACCACTCATTTTCAGCACGACCTTTGGAAAATCTATCTGGTTGCCTCCTCCAGTAAAGACAGTTATTTTATGCTGATATTTTGAACCTTTAATAAGCATTGCACAAAAAGTACTTTAATCATGAAACTAATCACGGATTTACATCTCTCCAATGAAGGAGAAAAGGCCACATGGGTAAAATTAAGTGTGGCAGATTGCATTTTCCAAAGTTGGCTACAACAATATCTCCCATCCTATGCTCTTCTTCCAATGTGACTTTGACAATCCTCCCACCAAGAAGTGGGGTTTATATTACCTTCCCCTTCAAACTGGGTGAGGTTTCAAGGTGTTTTAACCAATCCAATATGTCAGAAGTGACTCTATATAACTTCCAAGGCTAGATCATAAAAGACCTTGCAACTTCCACTTAGCCCACTAGAATATTTGTTCTTGAAGACTTCAGCCATATGTAAGCAGTCCAGCTGCCCTGAGGCAACCATATTGTGAGGAAGCCCAAACTAGCCAAGCCAGATAGACCACATGGAGAGGTGATGAAATATGAGAAGAGAAAGATGCCAAACTAGTCCCAGATGCTCCAGCCACCCAGTGTCCCACATATCGCCATTGTCTCACTGGAACCATATGAAAGACTATGAGAAAGAACTGCTCAGATGGGCCCTTCCTGAATTTCAGACCCGTACACATCATGAGAGATAATAAAGCCATTGTAGTTCTTATTTTAAGCCACTATATTTTGGGGCATTTTGTTATGCAGCAATAGTAATTGGAATATTAAATATTTATTCCACACTCATCCATCAGTTTTTCGTACCGTGGTGGCTTGTATGTTGCTGTGATGCTGGAAGCTATGCTACCAGTATTTCAAATACCAGTAGAGTCACCCATTGTGGACAGGTTTCAGCGGAGCCTCCAGACTAAGACATCTACTTCCAAAAAAAATTGGTCAGTGAAAACCTTATAAATAGCAGCAGAACATTATCTGATATAGTGCCGGAAGATGAATCC